AAGGTCAAGTCCAAGACCTCTTGCCTAATACTGGTTATGAAGGTTGCTCAATTTCCTTTATTGATTATATCTATGTTGCTGGACGAAAGATATTCAAGTAGGGATTCACCTCAATTTGTTGATGTTGGTACTTCCACAAATGGTGTGGTGCGCATTGGTGTCACAAACCGATGATGAGAGGTTTGTTTCTTCTGCGACAGTAATTGATGAGTCTTGCGACTTCTGCAGGAGGCGGTTGTTTCGTGTCATCACCAGGGAAGTAAGCCGAGGCCAAAATAACCTCTTGCTTACCTCCCTCAGTCGATACCTCTCCTGCTATACTTCTACTGAGTCTCTGTTAGTAAACTCTGGAACAGAAATGAAATTAGTGTTTTGCAGTGCAGCAACGCTGCTCTATGATTGTCATGTTCATTAGAATAAATCAATTTACATGTTTGGGTTGGAAGTCTTTTGATTCGACTTCCATGGGTCCAAGGCTCTCGGATGGAGGCTACGTTGAGCTTTTCGCAAATAAATCTTCTGCCAAGCATGTCAGAAGCAGCTTCTGCATGATGAAAATTTATTTGCAGGCAGCCTATTTTTTCGAAACCTTCGACTTCTTAGGGGAAACTTTGGCCCCTTTGTTTTTGAGCTTTATGTTGCTCGATGGTATTGCCCAGATAGCACAAATACCTTTTGAGGCCATTCTGAGGCGTTCACAATGATGTCCTCAGGACGTCGAGGGCGAGCCTGACTACGTCCCTAGCTCGTCCTCCTGTTACCGTTCTCTAAAATTGTTCTATCCGTCATTCGGTTGCTCCCTTACGAGCAACCCTCAGAAGTCTTCGAGAGTCTTGTGCGAGCAAGGAATGACGGGGGCCTCACCTTTTAACGTGTGATCCCAAACACTCTACATCCTAATAACGTCTTAGAACATCCCTATAAGGTCTTCTGGGACATGTATAGGGCATTATGGGAACATCTTTAGGTAGTATTGAAAAATTTCTAGGGATAGTTAATAAAAATGAAATTTTATTGAAAAAATATTTATATCATGATATTTGCGAAATATCCCTGGAATAATAATATGTTCAAATCGAAACTTACATCCTATTATTTATAACTTATTGGTGAAGATTTTCCAGTTTGGTTTCGAAAAAATGTATCTCAGCTTCTTGTTGAGCACTACTAGAAGTTATTGCCCATCGGTAATATTTCTCTATGTTGTTTTTGATTTCTCAACTCTGGATATGCTTCCTTATGCTGAATCTACTTAAAGTTGAAGCATTCATACAATATTTTATAGATGACATCAAGTTCGTGTTTTCCATAACCTTCTGAAACAAACAATGATTCAATATCTCATATCCCATGTAATATCTATGATTTGATCCTCCTACCTTTGTTCCTTTCTTCCTCAGAGAAAAATCATCATCAACATAATAATACATTATGATGATTTTTCTTTTGTTCTAATTCTGTTGTAAGTTCTCTTATTGTTATCATTTGTGATTTCTGAACCCTGGACATACTATCTGATGCTCAATATACTGAAAGTTCAAGCCTGCATACAATCTTTAATAGATTCGGAAGAAGCCAAAATATCTTTGAACTGAACATTTCTGCTCTGATGATAGCATCAAAAGTTTGTGTTCTCAATAACCTTCTGAAATAAATAATGTATTAATATTTCATGTCCAGTACCTACCTATACTATCAATGCTTTGATTCAGATACCTACCTTCATTGAATCTACTGAGAGTTCAAGCCTGCATACAATCTTTTATAGATTCCGAAGGAGCCAAAATTTCTTGGAATGAAACATCTCTGCTCTGATAATATGATATCAAGTTTGTGTTCTCAATAACTTCCTGAAACAAATAATGTATAGATATTTCATGTCCAGTAGGTATACCTACTATCAATATGATTTGATTCCTACCCAGTACCTTTATTGTATCTATACTGAAAGTTAAAGCCTGCATACAATCTTTTATAGATTCTAAAGAAGCCAAAATATGTTGGAATATCAAACATCTCTGATCTGGATGATATAATGATCAAGTTTGTGTTCTCATCAATAAACTCCTGGAACAAATAATAATGTATTGATATTTCATGTCCACTACCTATTATCAATGAGTTGATTCAGGTAGGTACCTATCTTCATTGAATCCACTGAAAGTTCCAGCCTTCATACAATAATGTTTGATAGATTCCGTAGAAGCCAAAACATCGTGGAATGAAACATATCTGCTCTGATAATATCATCAAGTTTGTGTTCTCAATGACTTCCTGAAATAAAATGATATATTCAATATTTCATGTCTTGTACCTACTATCAATGATTTGATTAATTAATTACCTGTATTTCTTATTATCTCATCAATTTCTCAGAGAAATATTATCAATGACCTCACTTCTAGTATTTCTAATTATCTTCTTCTTCTTCCTTTTGGCTTCGTCGACACGTTTTTCATAAAATGTCATCTGAAGACATCCGTAGGCACGACATCCGCTGCAGCCTCAGGCTGTCACTGAAAAATCTTTTCTAGGAAAATTACGGCGCTAAATCTACGCCTGATGATGTTCTTAGGTTGTAGAAAACATAACGTCTTCTCTAGGCGTTTGGCGACACATTGAGGATGACCCTAGGCTGATGTGTGCTATCTGGGTGGAGTTGGTTATATAGTTGGGCTTCTTCGGTGCCCTTGTCTCGTCCAGACTTGGAAGTCCACTAGGGCCAGGTGCCGTTCGATTGAGACCTTCGTTCTGGGCTTCAAAGAAACCCAGGATCTCTTCCGTCGAGTCGTCCTTGCTGGCTGGGAAGTATCCCACTACAATCTGGGCGCGAGGAATGTCACATTCCTTTAGCACCCTCAGGAATGCCCCTTCCCAAGGTGTTAGTTCTCCTGCTTTGTCAATTAGCCACTTCGAGGTGGCTTCATTGGCACAGGTCAGAACTAGGTAGCCTGGTTTGTAGGTGGAGCCCAGAAAGGAGGGTTTCACATCTTCTTTTTGTTCTCTATCATTTACCCAAGAATCGCTTTCTGGAGGGCATCTAGTTGCTTCGTACTCAGAAGAGCTTCCGGAAATTTTTTCGCCATGATACTCACTTTAACAACTTGCCTGAAAGTTTGCCGTGGGGGGGGGGATGGATGCCCCTTTATTTCTCTGGCATGTTTTGGAGGCGCTTCGTCAAGAGTGCTGCCCTCTGACCTATTCCTCTTGGAGGTAGGCTTGCCAGAGGGTCCCACTGTCTCTATTGGCTTCAAGGCAAAAAGACGGGCCTCTTCAGGAGAGGGGCCTTCTTTTACCAGCCATTTGAAGAGTTTCCTGGCCGCTCCATTGGGTTTTGTCCACTCAGGTTTCGGCAGCCTCACAGTGGATTTTTTTCGGTTGCCTCAGGAATGGCAGGACTTTTAGGCAAATCCATTTCTATTCCTTCAGGGCCGACTGGAAGGACATCACTGTCCTCTACGGTAGTTTTGTATTTTTAAAAGTTACTCATAATAGATCCCACGAGTAGCTAGAGAAATGAAGGTCGCCTGCAGCAGAGCCCCGCATTACCACAGGGAGGCTGTTTGAAACCGGAGGTCGCCTGGTATCCGGAGTTCGCAAACTAGCGATCGAGCTCCCCCTCAATCATGCAGTCCTCGGCGCTTGCTGTTCCACCTCAACTTGGAGCAAGGGATATACCGCCCCGGCCCGGTCGCCAGAGCCTCGTTCGTAAGACAACGGGGTACAGGAGTGACTGTATATTGCGTGATCATTGCCCTATTTGCTACCTCACTACGTATGGTGATATGTTGTCGACAATCACTCGCACCAGTGCCTTTCACACAATATACTGGTTGGGCTCGACCTCCCTGCCTTGATCGACGGACAACCCGTTGGCTCAATTGGCAGAGCGTTGGGCAAGTAACCCATAGGTTGTGAGTTCGACTCTCACACGGGGCGGTGGAGTTTCTTCATTTTCCATTGTCACTCGAAATTAGGACTTTCCATTTTTATCATCATTGTATGTATCTTTCCGGTTGAGTAACCGACAAAGATTATGACTCGACTCCTAAATATTAGAAGGACAGAGAACTAATTGCACTTTGAAAATTTGTAGGTGAATTCATGATGTGTCATTTTATCAAATGGCGAGAAAAATCATACTGACTATAAGTTAATCGAGGGGGTGGTACATTAATTCTACTTGATTATTTGAGATTTTGTCTCATCGTTCCTATAAAATGAAAATCAGTATTATTCCAATATATATGTGTAGTAGGACGAATCAAATGATACACATATATTGGAATAATACTCATATTTTCATTTTATAGAAACTAGGAGGAAAAATCTCGAATAATCAAGTAAAATGAGGAATATAATCATCCCAAATTTCATGAAATTATTTTTCATTCTCGTCACTCAAACTCATTTATTCGAGACGAAACCATCTAATTGAACCAATATTCAGATGAAATCACTCATCCTGAACGATTCGTGGATTTGTCTATCGGATTGTTTCCATATCTTTGTCAAATAAACCAGTTTCCGAAGAGAAGAGTCTTGATGAAATTTGATGGACTCGTGATATTACCTGTCATACTAGGTAACGAGATATTTTATATTTAGATTCGTGATTGCCGTGACGACGTGGTCTTACTAGCTCGAAAAAAAGTAATAGCGTACTATCGAGAATGGTGTTCCATTTTAAAAATTCTCATATCACAAAAAATAACAGTTCCATAAACGTAGTGGAATTATCTCATTGCATGAAATTCGTGCCCAATAGTATAGAAAATGTTGTAAACAATTTTTAAACTCAATCAAATTGCTTCAATCTGTTCGATGTTACTCCACTCGTCTTGCAGACTCGCGGTGTTATCAAGCAATTAGATCCCGTTGATTTCTGATAAAATCGCTATCAACATTATTGCGAGCACTCAAGGTATCACCTTGAATGATATCCTGAATCTTCAGCTTTGATTTGGAATGCTTTTAGTGACTATATCAATATTTTTCAGGTATCCGTGAAGAAGAGTATAATGTCAGCTACAGATCTAGATTCAGAACTCCCTTCAATGAATTCAGTTCATGAGGTTATTGCCATCACAGGAATCTCTGGTCGTTTTCCAGAGAGCAACAATATCGATGAATTCAAGAGGAAACTTTTTGATGGTGTAGACCTAGTCACAGAGGATTCACGGAAATGGCCTTCCGGTATAAATGGTTTACCAACACGTTCTGGTAGAATCAGAGATCTGCAATATTTTGACGCCACGTTCTTCGGAGCTCACTCTAAGCAAGCACACGCTATGGATCCCCAGTTGAGAATGCTCCTAGAATCAACATATGAAGCTATTGTAGATGCAGGTGTCAATCCCACTGATATAAGAGGTTCGAAAACAGGAGTATTCATCGGAGTATGTACTACTGAAACATTTGATTATATGAATATGAATCCAGATACAATGAATGGTTACAGTGTAACAGGATGCTGCAGACCGATGCTACCTAATAGAATATCTTATACGTTCGATTTGATCGGACCCAGTTGCGCTATAGACTCATCCTGTTCTAGTAGCCTCAGTGCATTGCAGCATGCCGAAACTGCAATCAGAAATGGAGACTGTGAGGCAGCGATAGTGGGCGGAGTGAATCTCATTCTCAACCCGACGTATACTTTACAGTTTCAGAAACTAGGTGTGTTGAGTCCTGATGGCAAGTGCAAAGCTTTTGATATCTCTGCAGATGGTTATGTTAGATCAGAAGCAGTAGTGACTGTATTTTTACAAAAAGCCAGTGTGGCTAAGAGGATATACGCAACTATAGTTGGTGCTAGAACTAATACTGATGGTTACAAGGCAGAAGGTATCACATTTCCTTCTGGAGCGATGCAGAAAAAACTCATCGGTGAGTTTTATGACGAAATCGGTATAAATCCACTGGAAGTTTCTTACATAGAAGCTCACGGTACTGGTACCAGAGTAGGAGACCCTCAAGAAGTCAACTCCATCGCCGATTTCTTTTGCAAAAATCGGAAAGATCCTCTACTGATTGGTTCATTGAAGTCTAATATGGGTCATTCGGAACCAGCCTCTGGTCTGTGCTCTTTAGTAAAAATCGTGATAGCCATGGAATCAGGAATGATACCTCAGAATCTCCATTTCCAAATAGCTAACCCAGACATACCTGCATTGAATGATGGGCGCCTGAAGGTTGTAACAGAAAATGTACCTTGGAATGGAGGTTTGATCGCTGTCAATTCCTTAGGATTTGGTGGTACTAATGTTCATGTTGTTTTGCGCTCTAATCCTAAGGTGAAACAAACTTCGCATATGTTACAGATACCACGTCTAGTGGGTGTTTCAGGCAGAACTGAACAAGCCGTGGAATATTTCCTCTTGAACATAGAAAGGAACAAGCAGGACGAAGAGTTTTTAGTACTCCTGGATGAAATCCATAGAAAGAATGTGAACGGACATGATTTCAGAGGTTACACTGTATTGAATGATCAACCTATCCCTGAAATAATCAGGATTTCACCTGAAAAGAGGGCAATTGTATTCGTTTATCCTGGAGTAGGCGCACAATGGCCTGGAATGGCAAAAGAGTTGATGAAGTTAGATTGTTTCAGAAATTCAGTTCGGAAGTGTGCAGATGTCTTGAAGCAGCACGGTATAGATTTGGAAAACGTTTTGACCAATGAAGCTGAAACAATATTAGACAATATCGTGAATTCATTCATATCCATAACTGCAATGCATGTGGCGTTAACTGATGTTCTGAATATTGTTGGAGTTGAACCAGATATGATAATTGGTCACTCGGTTGGTGAAATCGGTTGTGCATATGCTGATGGTACATTGACAAGAGAACAAGCCATTCTGGCAGCCTACGCTAGAGGTCATGCTATTTTGGAATCCGAAATACCTACAGGTGCTATGGCAGCAGTTGGACTCTCTTTAGAAGAAACGAGGAAAAGGTGTCCTCCTGAGATATTTCCCGCCTGTCACAACAGTGATGACAGCGTTACTATCTCTGGGCCACAAGAGTCAATCGAGAAATTCATCGAGGAGCTACACAAGGATGGTATTTTTGCTAAGAAAATAAAAACATCAGGTATAGCATTCCATAGCAAGTACATTGCTGAAGCTGGTCCGAACCTGCGACAAGCTCTAGACGTGATCATACCAAGTCCTAGACCTAGATCTTCAAAGTGGATTTCTTCTTCTATTCCGGAGACAGAATGGGGATCTTCATTGGCAAAATACAGTTCCTCAGCTTATTTCGTCAACAATTTTATATCTCCTGTTTTATTCAATGAAGCATTGAAATACGTTCCTGTTAATGCTATTGTAATTGAAATTGATTCTAATGGACTGCTTCAATCTATCCTGAAGAGGAAATTGGGAACCGGAGCAACGATTATAAATCTAGTCAAGAGAAATAACATCGACAAAATATCTTCGTTGCTGTCTGCCATTGGGAAGTGAGTACTCTTGTTATCACCAGAACGATAATAGTTCATTGATTGCGAGCACGGGATGATGGTCATTTTCGATGAGAATTGAGTCTTTTAGTATGGATCATGCTGCAAATTCCGTGCGAGTGATACACTATACTTTTTCTGCGGTTGTAACAGATAATAGAGATTTTGTTTTACTTATTATACGGCTTGTTGTCATCTGATTTTCTCTCGGAATATGCTTCATTAGATAGAGCTGACATTTTATGACATTTGGGATTCCATTTATAGTGGAATGAGAACATAATGAAGTTATTGTGTTATCTACTGAAAAATCACAATATGTTCTGAATTTTCGAGATAATTCTATCGCCTTGAACAAGTCATAAAAACCAATGCGATTTATTTTGAGATCTACATCAGCTATCATTATATTATGTCAAACTGACAGACTTTGCTACACTATCCATGGTATTACATCGTTAAGAACACCAACGCTGATAAGCCGATCAGGATTGAGGGATTGCTAGTGTTTTCGCACTAATTCAAGTTTCCTTCGGCTTGTGATTGGTCGAAGCATTTCAAGATTATTGAGGAAGTTCAGATAAGGAAATCACATTGAATACATACAATTCACCTCATTGGTTCTCCGGAAACAGTAAAACAAGAGCAATTTTGTGTTATACCCGTAGGAAAAACAGTTTCCCAGTTCGATAAAGTATTCCTCGATTCAACACATACATACCGGGTGTCAACGAATCAATTAGACAAGTCATAACTTCTAGACCATTAGGTGTATCAAAATGAGATTTAGTATATGTGAATGGTATGTGAAGAGGAGAGTTTTCACATATTTTTCACTTTCCGGTCACTTCCGGTTTCGCCGGAAACGGCTCCAGTTCTAAATTTTTAAATGGAACACCCTGTATATTGTAACATCTCTGGTTTTCTGAGACATTTCTAGATCAGAATGTGACATTTCCGAAAGTTCTTATGCCTACTCAATTTTGTCGAAGTCACTTTTGAGATTACATCTAGGCCCTAATAGCACACAACGTCCTAGGGACGTCCCTATTTGGTACAATTCACGTCCGAATATCCCGGACCAAGAATAGGTGTCCTTGGGACGTCCCATCCAGTTCATCTCATGCAATGTCCGAGCAAGGACGTCCACGGAATGTCCCTGCTGGTACTCCATTTCAAATGTCCTAGAAATAGCATCCCTCAGACGTCCCACGTAGTACATATTGTAGAATGTTCATGCAAGGACGTCCTTGGCATGTGCCTGATGGGATATGATTTTGAACGTTCCTTCAGGGACGTCCATCGGATGTCCCGAATAGTACATTCTGGCATGACTCCAGATCTTATATAATGTCGATATAGACAACCATGAAATGTCCCTGATATCTAATTCTTGTTCTTATTTGTAATCCAATCGCAAATGAATTAGTATCGTTAGATTCGTCAAAATATCCTTCTTTCGGAAAGTGCTTGTCAAAAAATGGTCGCCATTCGAAAGATAATAGTTAGACACGAAAATGTAATTTTGCCAACTTGTCGTATTCATATTTATCATACTTGTCACTGAAACTTCGCGATTGTAATTTTCTGATATCACCTGAGGTCCTTAGATTATTTTACTTCCGATCATGGCCACCTAGATGTAATTTCAAAAGTAACTCCGAAAAAATTCAGTAGGCATAGAAACTTTCGAAAAAGGCACATTCTGATCTAGAATGTCTCAGAAATCCAAATATGTTACAATATACAGGGTGTTACATTTGATAATTTAGAACCGCAGCCATTTCCGGTGAAACCATAAGTGACCGGAAAAAGTGAAAAATATGTGGAAACTCTCCTCTTCACATACCATTCAAATATACCAAATCTCATTTTGATACACTTAATGGTCCAGAAGCTATGACTTGTCTAATAAATTCGTTGACACCCGGTTTACGTGCACATTTGATGAGTCATAACCAATTACTGGCGCACTTGACATTGTATATTCTTTTAACTGTGACTTGACGATATACAATTTTAACAATGTAATTGAACACCTGAACTGGTGGAATTCGTACCGCAAGAAGTCAGAAAACCAGGAAACCTAAAGGATGAAGAAGAACATTACACGCTTGCTACCTATATGTTGATCGTTCGAAAGGTGAAGTAATGGAATTTGCACACCATTGACGTACCATTAATTGATGCTTCGTCTTGATCTAGAATGAGGAATCGGATACCGTTCGGAATATATTTGTCAATTTGTCGGCACTCTTTCACGAACAGCATGTAGCTGATTTTTCCTCATGTTATCAACTGTTGAATTTTATTCAGGTATTTTTTTTAGTAGTTGCACTCGAAGTGTAGATAGAATGATATTGCTGTCAACATGCCATCTAGCACTATGTCTTAGACTTTTGATGGACGTACTGAAAACGTCCTTTTTCAGACGTACTGGGTGGGTAGGATTTCGATGAACGAAGTACGTCCAACTCTGGACCTTTTCGATTCTGGGTTGTCGGATTCCAGTGACACAGAATCATGCTATACCCTTCATTTATTCTGGTTTGACGACGCAGTATTGAAACTTCTGTCTCTGTCACACTCATGGAGCATGGAAACTCTGAACGCGGATATTTCCGTATTGTTTGGAATAAAACACAATCATACTAGGTATTGTTGAATTCGTTATAATAACCCCTGGCCGATCGTGGAATGGAATACTCTGAGAATCGAAAGCTGCTGTCATTCTCAGAAGGACTGAATGAGAAACAAATCATACAATGTGAAAATAGTCTCATCTAGTGGGAATATTCGATGTTTCGAATTTCTGAAATATAGCTAGAAAAACCACCAAAACGCCACTTCAAGACAATTTGAACGATGAAACTCCGAGTTGAACTTCCACACGGAAATATGTCCTCAACTAACGTCAGAATTGCTGCAATTTGAATCTTATGGTAGAAAAAGTGGTCACGCCCTGAATTTTATTTCAATCCCTAATATTTTTTTGTTATGTTCGTTAGAATACATTAAAGCTTCTTCTTGCAACTAACATCGAAAATAATGATCAAAATTTCAGAACTTCAACCAATTCAGGACCATCAATTGAAAAATTAGCTTTATTTCTACATGAACAAGACTTAAAAGTAGCATATAGAACAAATAACACGTTAGGAAGGTTCATCAAGAATAATAAAGACAAAACTTCTAAGTTCGAAAAATCAGTTGGATCTTGCCCTAAGTTATATATCGGTGAGACAGGTCGTACGTTCAATCAGCGCATTCATCATGAACATGAGATGAATTTTCTGAAAATAAAAACAAATACAACATACGCCAACCATATTTTAGAAGTGAACCATAGTTTTAATGACAATTCCGAAAATCTACACGTAGAAAATGAAGGAACAAAACTCAAACATTTTGAATAATCAGAAATCAACAAACTCAAGAATTCTAACATTCTAATAATTAAGTATCCATCAGACCTCAATAGTTTGCCATTGTTGAATTTGTTTCCTTAGTCGGTAATAAAATGTATTTACTTTCAACCCTCTCAAGTTAATCCGTTACACCGTATTTTAATGTAGATATTGTGCCTATTTGCAGAAAATAAAGGTTAATCGAACCATTTTCCACAGGTGATTCTAATCCTCCAGGAAGAGAGAAACTCAAAGTCATTACCACAACTAGTTCATAAAATGAACGACAAAATGGTAGATAACGAGAGAAAAACAACTACTTTCCTGGCTATATGCCACGCAGAACATTGCATTACATCCTCCCGAAACCTATGCGATAGTTCGTATAAACGCTGAGCTGCGTTTAAGTGGTTCAGGAACGCTGACTACCTGCAGACCGGTTTCGAGCTCTTGGCTCTCATCAGTACAGGGCTGTCCCAGATAGCTTCTCGACCGCTATCTGGTGCGAACCTGACCCAACGTAGATTTTGTTTTGGAGTGTTTCTTTCCTTGCCAGGTGGCGTTCGGCGTTCGCGTTTTCATTTCGCAGACGTCGAACGCCTCGTATGGTATAAATGCTGAGATGAGCTTACGTTGGGTCAGGTTCGCACCAGATAGCGGTCGAGAAGCTATCTGGGACAGCCCTGTACTGATGAGAGCCAAGAGCTCGAAACCGGTCTGCAGGTAGTCAGCGTTCCTGAACCACTTAAACGCAGCTCAGCGTTTAGGAAGGAAACACTTGCGATTTTATTCGTTTATACGAACTATCGCATAGGTTTCGGGAGGATGTAATGCAATGTTCTGCGTGTCATATAGCCAGGAAAATAGTTGTTTTTCTCTCGTTATCTACCATTTTGTCGTTTATTTTATGAACTAGTTGTGGTAATGACTTTGAGTTTCTCTCTTCGTGACCAATGAATTCCACTTTGAGTATTTGGCTTTTTCCCTAGTTGCTAATCCTCCAGGTTGAGGAAGTAGGATATATATATAAGTTTAGGCAAGCCAAAATTAGTTTATATCATTGCGTACCTGTATCAAACTTGACGAAGCTTCTGTGTTAGCGAAACATGCCGTGTGTTTGAGAATTTTGTGAAAATATCATCGTTTTCATACTTGCTAGATTTCCATCAAGTAACGCCCGAGTCAATTGAAAGAATATCGAATATCCATTGAATTTTGAAGTTTGGAACCTATTTATCAGCCCGTTTTGAGGAAGATATTCATTAAGCTTAAATGCTACCTGTTTTGGAGCAAATTTTCATCCAATAAACATTTATTCGAATGTAAAGTACAACAAAGTGATGTATTAGAAAAATGATAATGATTCTTATAATAGCAGGTTTGAAAATATATCGCACACCCAGAATAACACTGAATAATGTCGAAATATCTCAGAATCAACTTATTTATATCGATAAATAGCCAAAAATTCGACGCGTCTACCACGACTACAGGCTCATATGACGCCTTGCCCCCTTTATTGGTGAAGACACGCACCATCAGAGTCGTACCGCGAACACTAAACTATGTCTAGATGCGTCTTGTACGTCTTAG